TTGAGTCTGCCCGACAGATGCTCAGAAGAGTTCCACTTTGCTACAGCACACAAAAAGCATGTCCTAATATCTCTTAACATTACACACTCATGTAAAGTGCTTTGTGGAGTTAAGGGAAATGTGCAGTGCTCTGGGCATCTTGTGAACCACTCAGGCAGTGGCATGAGGCTGGCATTTACTTCTTTGTGTTGTCCTGGCACCACCCCTACTCCCCATTGCCACCTTTTGTTTTCTCATGTAGGTATTCCATATGTTCCAGGCACAAGCCCTGCATGCATATGTTTATCCCTCAACTACACATTTTACTGAATAGATAAATATTAATTTTTAACACTCTCAAAATCATACTACTGCACTTACACAAAGCAGCACTATGATATTTTCTGGAATAGGAATGATGTGCTTCACTAAGGTAACATGGGAAGTGTCCCTAAAAAGCAAATACCAAACAAGGAATGAAATATCAAGGGCAAAACAACCCAGTTACCAGACTCCCATCAAGTGGCCAGAAGTTCAGCTGGAGTAAGGTCAAAATCAATTAACCTGTGTCAGGGAGGACTGGGCCACATTGGACACTGCTGGTAGCCAAAGGACAGAGCAATGTTTAAGTAGTCAAAGCACAGCCACCACAAGGCAACTGTCTTCAAACTCAATCTCCCCCAGCCCCAGGGCAGCCAGGGAGAAATGTCACACTAGGAGAGAGCTGTTTTTACAGAGAATATGACAAACCATCCTAGACCCTTTTGGAACAATGCAGCAGAAATCAAACAGGGAGCTATTTTTAAAACAAAGACGGACACAGTAAATGAACAAATTTTGTTTCTGCACTACAGGGCAGGTGTTTCAAACTCCATTCAGCTGGTTAATTCATCTGTGAGTGTTATCTAACGTGCATCCTGCTCAGCCTGTGATTGTTTCTCCAAATGCAAGTCCTAGCTCTTGCCTCTTCTCTGCTGCCTGTCTTGGACACCACCAGACATCTCAAGGGACACCAGGTGGGCAGTTGAACCAAGCTCACTCTAGGGAGGAAATTGAATGGCTCTGATGAACTGAAAAATCATTATCTTTTGGCAAACAGTTAAGTATGAAACTGTAACACATTTTGGAAAACCTCTTCTGTAGTCCCAAATTTTGGTAATTGCAGAGTTTGGAAGAGGATATTAATCACTGTTATATAAAGCAGCTGTTCTCCCATTCCTGAATTTAAGCACCTTAATTCACTTTTACATACCCATTTTTGTTATCTATCTCAAATCAAAAGGCTGCTGATTATTACTCTTAACTGTGGAATCTGGATGCTGATTGCCACTCTTAATCATGGAATTTCAAATCAGAGCACTCAAACATCCAAGATAAAGATTTAGGTAGCTCCACTGAGAATCACAGAATAAAACCAACCTGACTGCCTAAACACAGCAAGCAGCCTCCCTTCGCAACGAGAGAGGCAATGTGTACTTGAGAGGATCATCTTTTAAGTTCAATTTACTATCAAGTTCAATTTATTTTATAGCCTTCTACCAGTAGACCCTGATACTATGAACATTGTGTAACCATGGCTGCCCTTGAAGTTTTATCTCTTTTAAACTGACCCTAAAATCTTCTTATAGGGATGGCTAAATAAGAAACAAATATGCAATTAGCAGCTTCACATGCAGAATGTTCCCTCTACACACACTGGGGAGATAGAGCAATAGTCACCATTCTTATTTCATAAGCAGTCAGCAAACAGTCAAGCCTGAGACTACAAAACATGCACTATTCTTGAGACATGGTTATCAGGAATATGCAGGATTAAAAAAAATATAACAGCCCAATATTAAAAGTTTCCAGCCTTTAGGATGCACAGCAGCTGTGAACCAGAGACTCTTATTCCCAAAAATCTGAAAATTGAGTGTTTACTTAGAACCCTACAACTATATAGGTGGTTCTCTGTCTAGTTTTATAGGACTTGAGTTAATCCACAATGTAACTGAATGCATTTTTAGTACATAAATCTTTTTCCCCACTCAGGAACACAGAAAACATGTTCTGAGCAAGTAACAGACTTATTGTCTGTATCAGATAGGTACTGCAAAGGAAGAATCGTGCTTTTAAGGGGACATCCATTTTAATTTGGTCAAAGATGCCGGTTAAAATCAGAGGCAGAATTGACCACTGCTATAAGTCTTTCTGACAAGCTCATGATTTACTGTAATTTTTATTGTATTAGGAGGGCTATTCTTCCCAGCCATGCTGTTCTTTCAGAGCACCGGGCTCTCTTTGCAAGAGCAGCGCTCCTGATCCCCAGGGGCCGCTCTCCCAGCTGCCCTTTCTGCACAGGATTGAACTGGTTTACCTGTAACCAGCTCTTAAACTGCCCTCTGGTCTCTGCTCAGAGACCAGCAGCAGACTGCCATTGGTATGTTTCAGTTGCACACAGCAGCAATGCTCCTGAAAAAGGACACTTGTGGTTTAATACCCCTTTGATTTCAACTAGGGAGAGACGAGGCACGATGTGACCCCAAGGCTGAGAGACTGGGGAGCCAGAGGAGGCTGCTGCCCCCTGCACATCCTCCCACAACCCCAACGAGAGCAAGGAGGGCAGCTGGCATAGAGCAGGAAACATCTATGGCTCTCTAGCACCATGTGTCCCACAACTCAGGGACTTTCCTAATTATGGGGCTATTCCTGGCTCTAGAAGGAGGGGGTTTTATTTAAATTAAAACAGAAAGCAAAAGCAAATTCCAATTTTCTTGTTGGTTTGGAGACAGAGAGAATTCTTTTTATTTCCAGAAGAATCCCCATTTCTAATTCATTAGAGATTATTACACAGAGCACTGCACTTTAGTATGGTGGAATAACTTTCCACAGAAATTGCTTTTCAGGTGATACAAAGATTAAGGAATGTGCCGGCCTTCTAGGAAGCTTCTTAACAAAAAACAAAAAAAAGCAAGCCACAAACAGAAAACATCACACTCATTCTCTCCTAGTTTGAGCTCTGGGGCATGTGCTTTGCTGCTGCTTGCACCACACAGATTCATACAATGCATACATACAAATTTATCCAGGTGAAACTGATGAATACACAGAGAGAGAGAGAGAAGGAATAGGTAGATGGTGTAATAACACAAGCTGTGTTTCCTTTGAAAGTCAGACGAAGGAAAGTTTCTTGAGAGAGAAGGAGGAAGCACTCCCCATGATGTGAGGCCAGTTCTGGTGCATTTGCAGTATTAAAAGCACTTGGAGCTGGTGTGTGGTTATTCATAAGACTCTCCAAATGACAGAGGATTCAGCTGGGTAGATACAGCAGGTCCCAGGGGAGATGCAGTGCCTGGGGCCAAGGGAGGCAGGTTTCCTTGTCTGGGAGACTGCCTGCAGTGCTGGTGTCAATCAGCCCTGGTGGTAAGTCACTGCCTGTCTCTAGGAAGGCTGCCTGAAAACCCATTAGGGCTTGGCATGTGCTAGGATCTCGATGACATCCCACTGCTTTGCTGACTATAGGTTTTTTCTGCTTCTAAGATCACCGCAGACTCTTTTTTTTGAAGTACTAAATCTCAGAAAGAAGGTTAGATAGCTGAAAGCACTAATAAAATTATCTGAAAGTTGAAGTCTATGTAGATGTGCATACAGCTAATTTACCTGGAGAAGAAGAGTTTCCTCCAAACACATTTCTTATACTGTACTGTGCTTGTTGTGTTCAGTGCCCATTATTAATGGATTCTATCATATCCGTTTATCAACATTAACATCTGTTTAAATAAATCAGTTGTATCTTTAAACTGAGTTGTATTTATTTTTTACCTCATCAGTCAGAGAAGGTCAAGGCTCTTGAAAACACCTTTTTATTAGACCACACGTACAAGTATCCTGCCCTAAGGAGACTTCAGGAGGATTTTATCTAAACAATTATGCATTCTGAGTGCAATCAATTAAGAATAAAGTTTTCAGGGTTTTTGAATTGCACAACTCCAAAAGCAAACACAGGAAAACAAAACAACAAAACAACATTCAGATTTCCAGGATTTAAATAATGAAATATTGTTAAGAGTGGGAAGAGCAAGACAAAACAATTCAGAAGCCCTAAAAGAAGCATATTGTTATTTCCAACAGTGTCTTCTCAAGAAAACCATATTTCTATCACATTTCTGCATAAACTGAAATGCTAAATACAATCTCTAGACTGAACATCATTAATTCCCCAGATATCTGCTGGACTACATTCTTTTATGGATTAACTGTTCTCAATACTGCGGGGTTTCTTCAATTCCCACAAGTCATATGACTAAAACTACTGCATATTTTTTTCCCCTAGATAAATGTCTTTCTTTCTTTGGGCCCTAATATATACTATTGGAGCATAAATGCAAGGCTTGGGGAGCACTGAGCTGTGAAGACCCCACATGATGCTCTCCTCCTACCCCAGCTGCAGTGGCAGTGAAGAGCCCTGTCCATGCCCAAAACCACAGACCTCCAGGACAGACACACTGCACCGCTCCTCAGCTGGGAGGGCTTCTCTTTACCCATGCTGGCACACAGGGAGGGAGCATCATCAAATGACTGGGATGTAGTGGGCACACTTATAGAGCTGTGCACTACAAAAGTAAAAATTTTCACTGAACCTAAAAATCATTGTTCAGAAAAGCTTTTTTGTTGTGTGTAGGTAGCTATCAGTAGTTCAGCATCTCCTGATAAACCATATTTTTCTCACAACATGCCCCCACTGATTATTGAAGAGCAATTATTTACAAAGTAGCAAGAGGTGCAGTCAGCATATTTCTAGGACCCAGTATAGGCCATCTGCTGGTGCCTTTGTTAAAGCTGCTACAATCGACCAGGAAGCTTCCAAGCATTCCCTAGCAGTCAAGCAGCTGTGTGCAAGGCCAGTGCTTGCATTTTGATACAATCCTTTTCCCCAGTGAAACTGCTGAACCACCTCTGTCCTTCCTGGCACCAGCTGAGAAAAGCTAAGCTAAGCAATCCCTTTCTGAAACAGGGGCTGCGAGGAGCCCTTGCTTATGTACCTGTTTCATCAGGAGAGCTCGGCGAGGCGCTGTCCTGGGACAGGGTAGTCCAGCTGGAGTCCTCATCACTTGGGGCCAGGTTTTGAATCCTGTGGAGGGCACAGTCTGTTTTGGCCCCAGTTTTTGGGTGATCCTTCTTTGTCTCAGGGCTTGACGACACTGTGGCAACCTGGCCATCCTCTGGGCTTGGCATCTTGTTCTGCTTCTGGGGCAGGACTTCCCCATTGACAATAACGGTAGAAGCCTGGCTGTTGCTTTGTGCAGACTTATCTTCCATCCCAACAAAACCCTGCTCCAGATCTCGAGCTGATGTCTCTAGATCCGCATAGTAATTCAGGAAGCTCTTGGTTCTTCTTGGCTGCGAGGGTAATATTTCACAGCCAGAGGAATCCTGTGGGATCGGCTCATTGCTTTCAAACTTCTCAGAAGTTACACTTACGCCTGCAGTGGTACCGAGGTTTTTGTTGGGATCCTGCTGTCCCTGCTCGGCAGCTTTCCTGAGCTGGTTTTCTCCATTCTTCACCAGCTTTATATTGGCAGAGCCGTTCCCTAGAAGGGGCTGAACTGCTGGGTCGGAAAGACCCATGGCTGTCTGAATGTTAGTCAGCGCATACTTTTTCCTGCATTTGGGAGGAGTGCTGTTCTTGGTCTCCGTGTGCCTGATTTCTGCATTCAGGAGCTCGTTGTGGGAGGAGCGCAGGTTCAGGGTGTTGGGCGGGGTGGCGGGGCTGTTGCGGTTCACAACGTCCGTCGCGCTGCCGCTTGCCATAAACACCGCCAGCGCGTCCACGCCGGAATCGACTGCAAAGCAAAAGGAACACTTGTGAAACACATTCATTGCATACACTCTTGCTAGGACTTCTGGTAAAGGCATGTAGCACTTTAGGTAATTGTTTTACAGGAGGAAAATTACCACAACCGAAGTGGGTAAGAGAAGCGGCAAAAGCTTATCTTATCAAATAAGGAAGAAAGGAGGCAGAAAAAAATACAGAGATTATCAGGACCACGAAGATGAGAAAAAGCAGAAAGCTTGACCCTATACAAGACAATTTTATGGCAGATTTTTCATTTCTGAATCTGTTGCAGGCAGGCTCTGGGACAGCAGGGGTGCCCTTTGCAAATGCCTGGGACTCACACTATCTTACCGTAACTCTTTCACTATTTCATCTCTGTGTCAGATGAAGAGAGAAATAAGTCCTCAAGTGCTCACCACTAGGAAGCAGAAATTTGAACTATATCTAAGCAAACTGCGGACAGATGCTGCTGCTTTTTCATCTTTGGGTAGAGCTGTTACTGCTAAACCTGACTGGCTGGTCAGTTGTTGACTCCTAACACTTGCATTTTCTCTATTTGTCTTTCTTTCTTTCTTTCCCCTCCCTCCCCTGCCACCTTCCTTTTCTATTTTTTTTAGGAAAGGGAAGTAGAGGGTCAGGGAATACATGTAGAAGATTATTTCACAAAGGTATATTTGATTTCCAGGTGCAGGGAAAAAAAATCCCTTGATGAAATACCCTGCTGGAATTCAATTAACTTCAAACAAAGGGCTTGGTCCAGAGATGGTTTACTATTTCCATAGCTCACAAAGTTCAAGCTTGAGGATAAAACATACATCCTAGGGCAGAGTAAACATACTACACTGTTAAATTCTTTTGTCTGCTTGTAAACAAGTTTCTGATTTTTCTTAGCCATGGGTACAACTCATATTTTGAAAAAATATTAAGTTTATTGAGGGAACAGATTTTTAGACTATTAAAAATTATCAAAATATATCTCTTAAAAAAAACTCATTATAAGAACCCTGTAATTTGTTCCTGTACTGTCTATTTATGGCTTCCATTAATCTGCACAATACTCCATGAACACCTCAATTACTGTAGTAGTCACTGTTGTTTGATACCTGGCAACTAAATTAGAGGCCAATTAATAAATCACTCCCATCTGCCACAACATGAAACACCCTTTCTGTTGTTCCTAATTCTCAGTTATCATTGACTGCTTATGTTGCACATAAAAAGGTATCTGGGGCTTATCCAGGAATGAAAAGCTGTAATTTGAGCTAGCTGATGACAGATCATTCCAGCTGAGCTGTGCTGCATCTTTGGATATTTGATATATGACAGAACTGACTGCTGTACAGATTTACAAGAAATTAAATATATGGGTTTTAAAAGAACACATAATACATCAACAGAGTGGAAAGGAGCACTTCACATTGTTACCTAAATGCAGGCACAGTTGCTGGTGTTCCCTCCTCTTTGATGTGCTGTCAAAGCTGCTCACTTGCAAACATCACTCTGGTTCATTTGAAACCAAGCAGATCAAGTAATAGTACCCTTTGTTCCCTGAATCACCACCCAGCTGTTGAAGAACAATTTCTAAAACTTGTTAAAAACAGAATTTAAACTAAATGTTACCATTTTTCATGTTTGCCAATTTTTCAAGCCCTGGTCAGTCAGTCTAAGCCAACTGCAAATTCTTTAGAAGATGGATCACCCCATGGACATGCTGTGCCATCATCTTAGGTAACAGCTAGCAAACATCCTGGAAAAAACTTTAGCCACAAGAGACTTTAAAACACTACTATTACAAAATTTAAAGGAACTTTATAAATTACTTCTCAGATAAACATCTCATATACACACACAGAGCTTTATGGATCTGGTTCAGAACTAATCAGGTCTAATGTAAGCAAGGTCACATCTGATCAGATGTTACCAAAATGTTTTACATGAAACAGCTTCTACATATCAAATAGCTGCTTTGTGCTCTTTTCTGAATCACTCAACATTTGACAACATGAAAGTCAAATAAAAAAGTAAAGTAATAGGGCAGGATAATTTCCCCCCCACATTGCCTGACCTTTAGAATTTGTGCAATTGCATGGTATCTAGGGATTTCACTAGATTACATTTTACTTCATGCTTCAGCAAATTAAAACAAGCATTTATGTTTTTCACCAATAAATAAAATTACCACAATATAGAATAAGACTGAAATTTATTCTCCTTTGTTAACAAACGAGCTACTTCATGCAATGCTTGCCACTATTTTTGTCACTGAACAAATTTCTTAAAAAATAATCTTCCTAGATTAAGCTTAAATAATTGCCTGCCAGTTTATCTTTAGCTTGTCCCCTGCTGTTATTGTTTCATTGCTCGGAAATATTATTAAGACCTTGGACACATTGCAACAAAATGTATTACATTTTACTAATCAGCTTGGTAAAGGTTCTCCATTGATTTGAAGGACATCAGCACATTGTTCAACGCCTGAGCCAGGGAGTCTTTGAGGCTCACACCGTGTTTGTGACTTGGGTGTTAAGTTGGGCTGGTGCATGACCATGAACAGAAAAATGTCACAACAAACCTTTCACTAGACACCCTCTCCCCTCCTGACCCCATCTCAGGTGATCTGTTGATCAAACCATCATGATCAAACGATCAATGAACAGGCAGACTGAAGCCAGCTGCTCTCTCAGGGGCCAGGAGCCTGCTCGCTGGCCGTCACCCTGCGCTCCCAGCCACACCCTGGGATGCACACGATTCCCTGCGCTCTTGGAAGCAGACACAGATGTGAGAAAAAGGGAGGAAAAAAAAGATAAGAAGGCAAAAAGAGAAGAAGAAATACAGATGGGCAGATCTTCCATTTCAAGGGTAGAAGCTGCTATCAGACTGCGATTAACTAAAGTGCCAGAAAAACTGGAATGCAAGGAAATGCCTAAGAGCACTGAGGAAAGATTGCACAGTAGAACAGTGTAAAGAAGAAGAGCAATAGCCAGTCCCTCCTCCTTTACACAGGACACAATGATGCTTGAAACACATCACCTTTCCCAGAGGAAGCACATGATGACTTTCTAATTAAAAACTTCAATAAAATGCAGGAACCCCAGATTCCTGCATCCAGGGCTGCCACAGACAGACTCCATCCCCATCTCAGACAGCTCCTTGTGCTGCCTGGCTACCAGCAAGGACCATGCTATTGGCACAGGGCACTATATTTTCAATTTCTCTACCTTCTGCTGAAAAGCAAACACAATGGACAACCAGACTAGGAATCACTGAGTTGATACATGTATCTCAGTGTAAGTGGGAGAACACTGATAAATTGTGAGTGAGTTAAAGTAGGGTATTACACTAAAAAATATTCTACTCTGGTGAAAAGCTGACAACAATTAGAACATTATCATTACTGGGAATAATAACTTGGTTAAATTGTTGGTTCTTCAAGACAGCACTTAACTTGGTAGAAGATCTGCCATTGCAATTCATTAAGGATTTCAACTTGTTTATTTTTTAAAAGAATTCCCAGGCTCAGTTGTAGACTTCTAACATTCTTACAGATATAGATGAAAATACTTTTACCATTCTTACAGATATAGATTACAATACTTTTACCACTATAATGTGTTTAACACAGAGTAGTGCCAATTCTCTAAGGATCATAATAATACAAATAATGCTATTACTTGAATGGCTTTTATGAATGTTTTTCAATCTTGTCATGTAACTTTCAGAGCTAGAAAAAAGAGAGAGAAGATGTCATTGCAAATAAAGAATAGTGCATGACCAATTTGCCTTTGCCATCTAATGACTTTTTTGTATCCTATTGTCTATGGGAAGTTTTAAAAAAGCTCAATAGAGAGTTTCTTCAAAAAGGCACGGTTAAAAAAAAATGAAGTGCTTTCTCTTTTTCATGTGTAAGTGCAAAATGAAAGTGAAATATGGACCTGGAAAGAAGAAGAAGAAAAATAAGAGGAAAATGTCACATATTTTCATAGCAGAATCTTTTAAAGGGCATCTGACCTGGAAGTACTTCTGACATGGCTCGCGGGGCGTCAGCAATGCATCAGGAAATAGATTATAATTTGAAATCTGAAAAGAGGGACCATTTAAGAATTAAAACCAAAGGAAAACACAAAAGAAAAATACCACATTTTAGAAGCTCCTGAGAGATGTTAAGCATTCTAAATAAAGCTCACAGCATAACAGTGAGGATCTTCTGAGTTTTTAATGATATTTGACAGTCAATAAAGTATGGGAGAGACTAATCTGCAGCAACACAAACATGTAATTAAAAATAACTATTATATTTTTGTTAATGTACAAATTTACTGGGCACAAATTCAAAAATATTCTCCAGTTTTAGTCAACATACTGTAGCAAAAACTTAAATACATTGGAAAATATGAGCTTTTCCCAATTACCCGATTACAGCTTACTCAGGAAACCACAGCAGCACTGATACAAGAAAACACAGCAGTAAGGCAGGTTCACAAGAAAATTTACAGAATGAGATCTAGCATATGAAACCAAGAAGCACAGGGTTGATCTCACAGGGGCAATCATAAAAAAAAAAATAAATTAGGCAGTAAATTCCAGTATTGGACCCTTTCCTGGCCATCTCATAAACAAACCATTTTGCCCTAAAGTCTCTGATTTTGATATGAACGACACACACAGTGAGAGTCAAGGTACTCATGAAAATTTTTGCCACTGCATCTAGGAAACATCGGGAAAAAATAATACAATCTTTCCAAGAAAGCAGATTTCCCTTCTGCAAGGATATCTCTTGAGTACAAAACATTTAATGAAAACTTCATGCCACGGGGCTACAGCCACAGGTCTTATACACCCAGTTTAGTTTAAGTCTAAGCAACTGTAGAGAACACCTTCATTCTACAGTGATTGCAGCTCAACACCAGCTAACTCCCTTCACTTCAAAGGGTGAATTCCAATGTTAAAACATTCTTTCTAAAACTATGACCAGCTAAATGGTAATAGTTAAACAGATGTCAGCTAAAA